TAGTCATATATCAATAACCTACTATTTTCGATTTTATAACTATGTGCTGTGATGTGACATATTTATTATTCGAGTACCATAGCTAATATTTCTTACGTATAGCTGTAGAACGCGCAATTTTGCTCTCCCATTTTTCATGCAGTGCTAATCTGGAACTGGAAGTAAATATTTACAAATAACTATCTCAGGAAACCTAGAACAACAAAAGCTACCTTCTTTTCTTAAGGTATTTAATAAAGCATAATGACAGCCCTCTCTCACCCATTTCAGCGGCTAATAAATCCTAACAATGGCTGTCATTAGAGCCAGTTGGCTAAGTAAATTGTGTTATAACTAAGAAGCCCATAGACAATCAATTTTGAATTCTATGTCGTAGCAATACGGTAGATGTTGAGTGTAAATAACAAAATGTGATACCTTGCAGTTTTCATACGTCTTATTGCTATGGTTATAGAAATGAAAATCGGTTGTATTAACAGTAATAAAGGGGTTCGAAAAGTGATGTTGTTTCTAATGGTACTTTCATACTTACATACGTTATACTTTTTACAAGTATCTACCTACATGTACCTACTTACTAAGTACCTATATTAATGACATACCTACATCAATTCATTTTCTTGGAAGTCTCCTTTATATAGTGTCCAAAATATAGGATATTTCTTTTGAAGAATAAGGAATAATAGTGGATGATTGCCGATGAACTCCACGTCAAGATTTGCAGCTAATCTCATTAGGCCAGTAGCTGTAAAATATTAGAAAAACAACATTACCGTTGCAGCTAATTAAACCAACAAAGTTTCACCCATCAAATCCTAAATGCACGCCGGCATTCGCGCACTAAAAGGTTAATATCATTCCCTATTATGATAGTATATTGAGTCTTAATAAAAGCTTATAGTACGACTGCTGATCAAAAGTATCCAGGTCTCAATTCAATGAACAGGCACGATGTTATTAGGTTTCACGAAGACGAAATGCTCACACCTGTATCACAAAACTCGTTACATATGATTTTGTCAGTTCAACCACAAAACCAACGAAAGTAAACATACTATTTGTAATACATCTACCTAATTAGTTTGGTATAACAGGGAAAAGAAAAAAAATATATAAAGTTCTTATTCAGTCAGAACCGCTGCCTATATACTGAAAATACACCGCATTCTGTTGCATGTTAAAATGTTAGAGCCCACCTATAGTCCTCACGAACCCACGATACGATAAATAGGGCAAAACGCAAATCCCAGATATCCTAAAACTAGCTGTCGTCCATACAAAACAAATGTAATTTTAGTTCATACGCAAGTAGGTCAGTAGGACAACCTGGGATATCGATCAGGCACAGGACCGACATAAAGTTGCGCGCATTATATTTTAAAGCTTTTAATTTTCACATCAAACTATAGCTAGGTGGGCCACGATCGACCCGTCATAACTACTTACATACATACTCAAATTGAATAGGGTTTCTCATTTATTTCACTCTAACAATCACAGCTTCGTGTATCGCTACGTGAGTTAGGATACCGGAGGCCCATTTCTCCTTCCCCCATCCCTCTCTAAGCCCTAATGCTTTAAAATCCTTATCCCCAAAAATTCTGCAACGCACTCGTTACTCTCTGACTTTGAGGGTGTACATGGGCGGCATCGATTGCTTACCATCAGGTAATTCGACACTCACTTGCCGACCTATCACTTCAAAGAAAACTCTTAGGGTTTCGTAATCGACAGATCTGATTAACTGTCTTGGGGTTATCCTTACTTAACAATTAATTACACTACCAAGGCAACACTTATTGTTATTTTGAGAAATAACTTGTCACAAATGGGTTATCAAAGAGCGGTCCTGTCCAAATTCTAGTGATTTATTGCTGTAAAGTACTTATAGAATCAGATGACCTTAGCCGCTTACACCTACGTGGCTTAGTCTAGAAGTTTATTAACCTACCAATGACATGTAAAGGATTCGTCACCCGCAATGCTATAGATACGTAGGTACGACGGTTTTACGAGTTGGGTATTTCATAATATATATATACCAAATATAAGTATTGCCTCGCAGTTATTTTTAGAATTTCAGGTCAAACGACTTGTGTTTACTATATTTGATGATTGTAAATCGACGGGAAGAACACGTTACGATGAATATTTATTCATATTTACTTTTAAAGAGTATGAATCGATTTTTATGAATAAACGAATGCCAGGGTCAGGTTAAGTAATATAAAACCAGTTTGTGTAAAAAAATATTTATTGATAGATAAATTAATTATTATTCGTTTGCGTGGTAAGCTGCGACAAACTCAATATGTCTGTCAATAAGGATTGCAGCTATGAAGGGTCGGTCAGCGATGAAAGCAGGCACGGGGTTGACGTTGACTATAAGCGAATACATGGCGACCCCCATAGCTGGAATACAACCAGATTTATGTAACGACCAGAGTCACAGATTACATAATTCCAAAACCATAGATAAATAACGACTTACATATAAAGCCAAGGCAAGCAGACAACGCACATCGAGATGTATATGACCCTCCTAGCATCGATTTTAAGTCCGTTTTTTTGTTGATAATGTTAAATTATGTATATGTATTTGAAATTCATTTCTCAAATATCATCTAAAGAGTAAGGCTAAGTTAGCCTCGAAGAAGCTAGTTGTGCTCAAAAGATCGAGGACGTATTTTATTCTGGGGCATCGCAAGGTATTTTAAAATAAGGTGCAGGTTTGGTCCCATGTGAAACATAATGTTCATTTTTTTGGTGAGGGCGACCCAGTACCAGCTGCTCCCTTTGGACCGTGTTTCAGTCCGGTTGGACTCTTTGGCACTGCGTAGGGTTTTAGCCTCGCTATGTGTCCAATATCGGGGACATATAGCGAGAATATGCATATATACCACGGGGAGTGTCCGAGGAATTGTTTAGTTTGATCCATGCCAGATTTTTCATCGACCCACGCGAAAAAAATTTCATCCCCCTCATACAGCTGGTTAGCAGCCCGATACCGTGCAATTTTAGCGAAACTGCCTCGCACAGCTAACTTTGGAATGATCCTTTAGCGGCCGGCGGTATTTCCGAACCGATACGACCTTCAAACCTTCATGAAACGTGCGTAGGTACTATTTTAAAAACCTACTAACAGTGTAGTGCTCAATAAAAGTAAAAACAATGTGCAAAAACGAGTAAGACTCTGTTTAGAGAGAAAGGGTATGCATTTTGACCAATAATATTGTTCAAGGTGTGATTCTACCATTATTCATTTTGATTTAACTTGTATTTTTGTTTAGAGTGATACTAAAAATTGCTTCTAGCCATTAAGTCCTCCGATATGCAATTGTATATAAAGAATAACTAATAAATGTAATAATATAAAATAAAACACTTATTCAATGCCAAAGACATCAAAATTAGGACGGTGAAAATCTTCCTGTATATTCATAATAATATAAGGCATGTAAGACAAATCGTTTATTTCAATGTAACAAACAGATACTCATAAATGATCTATATGCATGAATATGTCCATTAAATAAAGTAATGTATTAAAACTGGGTTCAAAAGTGACTGATGACATTAATGATTAAATTTTTATATAAACGAAATAAAACTTTATACACAAAATATTGGTACATAAATAATTATATATTTTATATCTACATATATCAAATCTACTCGCTGCCGCAGTATGATGCCATGAAGTGAGGAGTGTTTCCGATTATGATAGACACCAGGAAAGGCCGGTTTGCGATGAATCGACGGATGGGAGGCGGGTTCAACATTGCTGAACAAAACGCGATGCCCATTGCTGGAATAACATTTAGATTTATAAGATGCAACTAGTGTCAGTTTTATGAAGATTCAATGTACGTTATTAATAGTACAAATGCGTTTTTGTAAAAATGGGTGGATGTGTGTAGGCCAAGTTCAGATGAAGGCGCGAGTCGCGACGACGCGCTATTGTCTCGGCGCGCGGTTTAAGATTGTAACAAATCATTGCTGAAATAATCATTCATCGACATTGTCACTCGAATAAATCAAAATTTCGGGAAGAAGTCGCTGGCAAAACTGTTATTAGTTACAAAAAACAATGAAATTCAACACAATGACCTAAAGAGGTTTTCATCCTTAACAAACTTTTTATTAATTGCTGTGTTGTTCAATTTTCGAATTTCGAATGCTTACACCACCATTGATTTTTAAACTGTACCGATATTAATGCCGCTTTGAAAGAATAGACATCCAATCTGTGTGGTAACCTTGTTTTTACCAATATTTTGGTTGCTTCGTTGCATTTGAGTTCCCTGAATGGCTAAATACATTTGACGCTGACTGTAGGTACGACGTTATTACGAGTTCGGTTAATCATATACCAAATAATACTATTATTTGGTATTCGGTACTCCACAGTCACTTAGAATTTCAGGTCAACCGACTTGTGTTTATTTTTTCCGATTGCAAAATGGATGGGAGGGACACGTTTCGATGAGTTCATGTTCAATCGTGGTAATTCGAGATACAAAAGAAGAACAATAGGCGTGTGAACGCCGATGAAGCTATATGAAATATTTAATTCAAAAGAATGTGAATCGGTTGTTTTAATAAACGGAAGCACCTTAACACCTTTTTTTTCAGCTGAGAAAAATGCGTTACGCATTCACACACCAACCGGGGAGACGCTGAGGTTATGTGGGGCTAGCACCCACTAAAAAAACTCAGCTTTCATGCCGTCTTCTGCCTTTTGGGAGAAGTTACGAGGACAAAAACGACTTTCGTGACCTCTCGGCAGTGGCTGGTCGCTTCCATCTATTAGCGATCCGGCTCAGCAGCAGCTCGTGGAATGCAGGCAGCAGTTCTACGTTCTTCTACCCACTGGCTGTTGCTAAGGCGGCATCTGGGTGGCATAATGCCTCCGAAGCCTACCAACCCTCCGGCGACGAAAAAGAACCTTAATACCTAGTCTAGGTTAGGTAAACGTAACGGAAACAAGTTTGTGTAAAACAAAAGTATTTATTGATAGATAAATGAATTATTCTTCGTTTGCATGGTAAGCTGCGACAAACTCAATATGTCTGTCAATAAGGATTGCAGCTATGAAGGGTCGGTCAGCGATGAAAGCAGGCACGGGGTTGACGTTGACCATAAGCGAATACATGGCGATCCCCATAGCTGGAATACAACCACATTTATGTAACGACCGGAGTCACAGATTACATAATTCCAAAACCATAGATAAATATAACGACTTACATATAAAGCCAAGGCAAGTAGACAACGCACATCGAGATGTATATGACAACACTTTTTATATTGATCATCAATTTTATGATGTTGAAGCCCGATTTTCATTTTGATATTGTTAAAATTAATAGATACGATATATAATAAGTGCAGTGTTATTAATAAATATTTTTTCAGTCTGTCGCATAAAGTTTACTATACGACTTAGTATCTAGCGCTTACATTCAAAACACTTTTTGACAATCGAGACTAACCAGCAAGCTCAGTGTCTCGGTTTTATTAATACTTGCATTAGTGAAATTGTCGCAAGTTTTTTAGCAATTCAACATTCAACAAGAAACCAGTTCCATAAATTCTTTTATTTAATATATTCTAAGCATCAAAATTATGGATGATGTGACTATGTGAGAGAGAACACCGGGCTTGAGTGATGATTTATTTAATCAAATAGGAGAGGTATTTTGTCTAAAGGCGTAACCTAAACAGAATAAGGGCGATATGGTAACTCTTCAGTGAGGGTTGACTGACCTCCGCATGCACTGTGCTTAAGTGTGGGAGAGCCATGCTTCGGCACAAATGGTTGGCTCGATCGGACTTATATACCACGGCCTGTTTCGCAGTGTAAGTGAGGTTACCGGCGGCTCAATATCTCCTCATCCTCAAGCCTCAATTCCCGTAGGTATTCGTAAATTCCTAATTACCCGTAAAACGCATTACATGATTGTCCATGGGCGGCGCTGATTGCTTACCATCATGTAATCCGTCTGTTAATTTTCTGACCTATAATACAAAAATATTGTAATGCACTTGTAATAATAGTTTTGTGAGAAACATAATATTGACATCACATAGAACACCGGTGTACGCTTGGGGATTTGTAGGCTAGGTATCCCCCACGGAATAGAAAAACTATTTTCTGTTCTGTGGTACCCCCTTAGTTTTGGCCGCAAGGGATCGTGTAATTAGTGAATAATATTTGTAAGTAAATTACAACTAACTGCAATAATTCATTTGAAATTGAAACCTAACATAATTGTAAAAGGTTTTCAGTGTACCGAAATAGCGTTTAAATAAATAGTATTAGTACTTATGCCGTTATTTTAATAAAATATAACGTCATACTAATACTCATTATGAACGCGAAAGTTTATAAAGGCATAACCTGAACAGAATAAGGGCGAGATGGTAACATCACCGTAAGGCTTGACTGGCCTGGATACCCATTAAGCAAGAAAATTTATAAGTGTGGATGTATGGATGGATGGATGAATCTGAACGGATGATGAAAATTATCCCATAGCGTTTAAATTAATAGTGGTATTAGTACTTATGCCTTTATTTTAATAAAATATAACGTCATACTAATACTCATTATGAACGCCAAAGTTTATAAGAATGGATGGATGGATGAATAGATGAAGGTAATGTATTATGATTATTATGAAAAATGTAATAATTTTATTAGCTATATAAAAAACATGGATTATGTATTAAAACTGTGTTCAAGTATGATTGATGATACATGGTTTAACTTTTATATAAACAAAATGTTGTTTATTATATAAAATATTGGTACATGCATAGTTATTTACGACTGGATATAATTAAGGGATCAAAAGTGTCTAGGTTTTGGATCAAACTTAAAAAGATTGTAGCTTTCGTAGCCCATTACAGTTTAAGTTATGGCCAGGTGAAATCTGCCAAATTTGGATTTATTTGTTTAGTTACTTAATTTTTATCCAGTAGCGTATATAGCTATATGGTAACTATTCACTGCCGCAGTATGATGCCATGAAGTGAGGAATGTTTCCGATTATGATAGACACCAGGAAAGACCGGTTTGCGATGAATAGACGGATGGGAAGCGGATTCAAAATAAATGACGTTGGCTCCACGACGACTATTGCTGGAATAACATATAGGTTTATAAGATGCAACAAGAGTTAGTTTTATGAGTATTCAATATACTTATACTAATATTATAAATGCGTTTTTGTAAATGTATCTAGATGGATTTCTGTTATTCTCTCACGTAATAGTGGGTTGCTATTGGTATGATTGTCAGTGGTGCCTGGTGCCTCACGCCTTCCTTATTATACTTCTATTCTATGTAAGTACTCTTTTTTCCTAGCTGTAAATGATCAGGTGGCCAAAAGACAAGTATTTTAAAATAACGCCACGTGTTTTATACCGAGGGGAGGCCTTTATTCAGCAGTGGACGTCTTTTGGCTGATGGTGGGTGATGTCGTTTTATAAAATATAGTATCATATTATTATGTTACATTCACTACAATTTAAATTTTAGTGTACAATTTTTGCCATGCAATAAAATGTAGACACATAATATGCTTAAACAGTTTTACAAACTGGCCAATTGCCGATCGCGATGCAGCGGTCACACTGTAGTGTGTGTGACACCTCTGCCCATAAGTAGTAACACACGCTTCAACGAAATTTGTTACGTTCATTATAAAGGTGGAATTTATTGTTACACTTTAAGTGTGTGTTGCCTAAAGGCATAACCTGAACGGAATTAGGGCGAGATGGTAGATATCTCCGTAATTTTTGCTTGGCCTGGATAGGTACTCATTAAGCAAGAAAATTTATAAGTATGGATGGATGGATGGATGGATGGATGAATTCGAACGGATGATGAAAATTTGCCCAGAATTAGATGACGGACGTAGGCGAATCTCCTTGGCGACTATAATTAAATATACAATATTAATAGATATTATTCCATTCTGTATTAAAAATGTGTGATTGATGATATATGAAGGTACAATACCGCCAACGTATCTTGGCGAGTCTGAAGTTAGCAGATTAGCTGCGCAGTACACAATTTTGTTCCTAAAAGATCCATTGCGCAGACAAAAAGCTAACTTCAGACTAGCCAAGATACGTCGGTCGTACTGTAAGTACATGACTTTAATATTCTTAAACAAAATAAGGTTTATAATGCAAAATATTGATACGTACATAGTTATACACGACTGGATAAAATTAAGAGTTCTAATTTAAAAACTAGACATTTTGATTCATAATGTAGTTGTTATTTATTTCTTGTTCGACCATATCGATTTATTTGTTTACTTAATTTTTTCCAGTAGCGTATATAGCTATATGGTAACTATTCACTGCCGCAGTATGATGCCATGAAGTGAGGAGTGTTTCCGATTATGACAGACGCCAGGAAAGGCCGGTTCGCGATGAATCGACGGATGGGAGGCGGGTTCAACATGAATGACAATGTCTTCACGATGACTATTGCTGGAATAACATATAGGTTTAAGTGTCAGTTTTATGAGGAATCAATGTAACTATACTACTAATATTATAAACGCGTTTTTGTAAATGTACATGGATTTGTGTTACGCTTTCACGATATAGCGGATTGCTGTTTTCGATTTAAATGTTTGTTGGTACGAATGTAACAGTGCTCGCGACTTCCTTCTATTTTTTTTCACCTATAAATGACGAGATAGCAAAAAATATCCTATTTAAATTAACGCCCACGTTAACATTCTAAAACACATCATAAGTTAATTTTTATAACAATTTTAAAATATTTATTAACGAAATTATAATGTTTAATATTGGTATTGCAATAAAATAATCAAATAAAACATTTTTCAACACACTACCTCATGAAGTGGCTCTAATCCCATGGCAATTAGGCACATAATGGCACCTTTATACAAACTGTGACTTTTTCACGAGTGAATAATAGATTGTTTTTAATAATATTCCTTTAGTTACACTTACTTGCGCTAAAATTCTATCTGCGTAAAGCCCAAAAAAAACCTCATTTTTTAGTCTATGGCCGATGCTCGCGCATTGGAAAGCTGATTAATTTTACCGCCATTACGAAACATATTTTACAACTCGTCTCGTTTTCTCTTTTTAAGTTTTTATTCAGGTAATATATTATTCAGAAGTATGTTGAAAAACGTCGTGTGATACACGTGTGAGTTGGTGAATACTCTTATAAGAGTACCTCTATTGAAAGAGGTACTATAATGGTGACAAATAAAAGGTGTGTATTGTGAATTAAAAGATAGACAGGAATCAGGATAAGTAACTTTGCTTTTCGTGCTGTAACTAACAAGACTTTATAATAACTTATTTCGTCGATCTGATGAATAAAAAAACTGCCAGCTAGTTATAAAATTAAAACATTTAATAAGCGAATAAATCAAGTAATATCATACAACAGATTAAAAATTATTCCGAATTAGTTAACATTTGTAATTGCGGTGTTATTAACGTAATATAAGCTGTTATTCGAGAAATATTGCTGTAATTTCCTACACAACTTATTGAATATAACAATATACTAACATATCAATATTTTACATCAGTTTGTGTGATCTATAACATGACCTATGTAGGTATATGGTGTGGTCATATAAACTTTAAATATTATTTGATCTGAATCTTAAGTAATTCTAACCGCTGAGGTATTTATATTTAGTAGGCGTTTTCTTGCCCTTGCACGCAATGGATTAAAAGTTTGCAAGTGCGTGATACTGTGTGTTTAATTTGTTAACACCGTGAGTCTAGCATGTTGTCAGAGTGACATCGACAATGTATCGACATGGTGCCCGTGGCATCGTGGGGTCGTCGCTCGCGAGGTGTGTTTAGTCCCTGCCGCGATAGGCCCCGATGAAGAGCAGGGCGCGGTCAGCGCCAAACAGCAGGTAGAGGAAAGGCCGGTCAGCGCGGAAGCGGGGCGACGGCGGGCGAGCGCAACGCAGCATTATCACCATGCCTGCGCCACACACAGCACTATAGTTCATCGCGCGGGCCGGGCGGCAGCGCTGCGGCCCGGTAGCTGGCCAGCGCCACCACGTGGCCCGCCACCCGCAGCAGCCACAGCGCGGCGCGGTCCGCCGCGAACACGGGCACCAGCGAGCGCGCGCGCCGCGTCACCATCGCTGCGCGGCACACACCACACACACATCAGGCACCACAGTGCTGCCACACCCAGCCCGCCACTACCACACTACCACACGACCAAGCAATACCAAACACAGCCAAGACCATATCACAACACAAGTAGAGTTCCACACAGGTAGAGGTAGTCGTAAAGGAGATTGTCCCGTAAAAGCATAGTATTCTAAAAGAAACTCAAAAGCTGTCTAAACGCCGGAATGAAGTATTGGGGTGAAATAGGAATATGATATAGGTGTAAAATGAATCGGTTAAAATTTTAGGGTGTGCCAGGGAAATAAATATTTTTTAGATCATGCTTCTGCGTTCCAAAAGTAGGTTATCGATATTTAAAAGCCCTTCAGTTGAAGTAATTTCTTTATTATAATCAATTATCCTCAATTTGGGCAACCAATAATGCTCTTGAGAAAACAATGCGTACTAATCGCAACGACAGTAATAATAAACACTGGTTTTGTATTATAAGAAGAAAAAAGAGTTTTTTTCCAATATAAATGCGCAATGACGTTAAATATAAATGTCAGTGATATTGACCGACAACAAAGTCCAGAAATATCTGTACCTCGTCAACACACTTATCGAGAAGTATGTTATCGTTTGTAATCATATCACTGACCAAGCTCTTACAACGTACATTCCAAGTTAGTAACCGATATACAAATAGATAACAGGTTAGAGAGAATGTGTAAGCTGCTCGTACTATGGAGCGGTTAACGAGGTGTTAATTGAGGACATTGAGTTTAGACGCAAGCATTAATTTTGTTGTATTTACAGTCCCGAAACTAGATTTCTTTGGAACAAAAATAAGCACAAAAGTGTACGATAGTGAGCGGGCTGTGGATTCTTTATGTGTCTGATATAATCAATTTTATTTATTGGATAATTATTTCGCAATCCCCGTGCGTCATTTATCACTAATGTCGATAATGTTAAGTAATGAATTCGTTTTGAACTATGAATTTGATGCTCCAGGTTGTACGGACCAGGGTAGTATAGGAACGGTTGAGATCCCCTAGATTTGGGTCTGCATATAGGCATGCGCTAAAAGGAAGCAGTACTAAGAATATTGATCACGCTTACCGGTAGCCGCGGCGGCCTCAGCGCCCTCCTCGTTTACTTCAATGAAGGCTTTCTGCACTGCCTTCGACACGAACAACGGCTCATCCGCATTTAGAATCTTGGTCAGGCCCGAATTCGCACGGTCGAAAATCGACTTTATTCCGAGCTGCAATAAACAATAGCACTTAATCTCAACGTCATAAAGACAAAGCGATACGGATTGAAGCACAGTTGAAGGTCATTTGGCTATTAGTAAAAATTTAAATGTCGCAGTTACAATCAAAGTGCCTCACGAGTTTATAATGTCGTCTACCTCTACGTGACCATGAATTTGTTTTTTATTTGTCTACTGCTCTAAGGATGATCTCCAAAAAAGGAGATCCAACTGCTTTAAGCTTATCTCTATGACGTTAGGTCCTCTTCAAAGAACAGATTACAATAATTACAGCTATATTATTCCCAGATAAGCTGTTGTCATATGAATGTAAGATAATTCTAAGAAATATCTGTCACAAAATGTATACATATATTTTCCTTAATTATTTTCTAATTGTGTAATATTTTTAAGGAAAAGAGACGGCAACTTACTAATTTGTTTATTTAGAATTTCTAGGATAGAAAGGAAACAAAAAATAGCAGCAGAACTGCCTTAAAAAAAGTCCGGGTTTACGAGGCAAGCGCAATAAGTTACCACGGCATCGGCCTAGAGCGGGAACGAAGTGATTTTTAGTTTGTTAGAGTAGGTATTTAAAAAAAAAAAAAACGCTCTCGCACTTTAGGGTTTTGTCCTGTATGTGGTATGATACTCCTTTGGTCCCAACCTGGGTGAAAGAAGTCATGTGTAGTTCCTCGCCTCCCATTCAAAAAGAGTAATATCAATACATAACACCGAAAAAAAATTATAAAAATTAAATAGAAAAGGTACAAACCTTCGGCAACAAATCAGCCAAGTCAATCTCAGTCTCAATCTTAAACTTGGGGATTGTCACTTGTACTTTAGTTTTGTGCATTTTGCCAATTTCCGACATCAGGTCGAAGCCAGACGCCAGTTTGGAGAGGACGCCGTCGAGACCCTCGATTTCATTTGGAAGCACAATCAACATGGACGCTTCTCCTCCTTGGTAAGGCATTTCTAAGAGCTGTAACATAATACATTTCATATGAGATAACCGGTAGTTAATATACATGTAAGGTTAATTGCAAATTTTTATCAACATTAGCCATGTAATCCAATCTGATAAGTCAAATATAATTTTGCAAAAATGACCATTTTCCTCATGTCTGCTAAGATATCTACGACAGAAAGTGTACAGGATGTATTTTCTTACAAAATCACTTATGTTTTTGACTGTTCTATTTTTAATCCTAAATAACAAATTCAAATCAACATGAACATTTTGGAGTTTCTTGCTCGTTCTTCTCCATTCGAATCTACAATTTGGAATGAGCACCTAGCTTCACTGACGAACAGACTGACAGACTACTTCTCTATTTTGACGTTTCAAAAGTACCTATGTATGGTTTAGTTGGAATAAATGATTTTGACTTTGAAAACATCATCAACCTATAATTGCCCAAAGCTGAGTTCCCTATCCTTACACGTAGAAGGTTTGAGCATTAATCACCACGCTTTCTAAGGCGGATTGGCAATTTCAAACTTATAATTAGAAATTTTGAGTGCTGTTTAACGTAACCATGTTTTCCTTCACCGTATGTCAGTGGTCCAAATAATCATAAAAAGTATACTTATATCACTTGGGAAAAGTCACATTGATAAGTACTTTCCAGGTTTCGAACCCGCTCCCTTATTTATGAGCCGTGGACGCCTTAACCTCTGGGCCACCACGACGAATGAATACAACAGGCAAATCCAAACTAATATTATAAATGCGAAAGTCTGTCTGTTTGTCTTTTCTTCATGCCTAAACTACTGAACCTTTTTGTGTGAAATTTGGTACAGACAGAAAATCTGCAGGAAATCACTATCCAACGCAAAAAAGTCGCGGGCAAAAGCTAGTTACAGAAATAATCCCAAGTAAAAAAACATAACAGAATGCAACATATCTGTTAGGTAGGTAATTGAAATACACAAGGAAATATTTCAGGCTGTCCCAACAACACTCGATATTTAATTATAGACGCAATCAATGTATGCTTGCGAATATGAATTTTCTGGGAATCGGTAAAAATAGATACTCGTATTGTTTACATAATGAGTCTGGAATTCTAATGGGTAAATCCATGTAGCTGTTTATATGACCCAATAAAGTATCAATGCAATTTAATATGCGAGTGATACACAAAATGGAAATAATATCGAATTAATAAATCATTATGGGCGTAATATTCAGATAGTTAAGGTTTGTTTTAATGATGAAGCATGAGAGTCCTGTGGTATAACTAAGCCAATAGTTATTTTTTATAGTTAGTACAGAATGAAAACGAGCATAAGGAACACTTGATCATAAGTGATCAGCGCCGATCATGGATATATGCAACATCAGGGGAGTCACAGGCGCGAGTACGCTCGATTCCTAGAGGTTTGAGGGTCGTATCGGTTCGAGTCGTGAACGACTGATTGAATTAATGTGTTTATTTTATACATACCTGAGCTTGAAGCTCGCTACTCTCTCCATACAAATAGTCGTCCTCTCTGTACATCATAGGGACCTCCACCGAAGAGTCGGCAGTAATGTGGAACGGCTGGTTCATCGTGTTTTGTGGATCGAACTGCTTCTGCCATGTTCCCTAGAAATTGTTTACGATAGCAATGAAATACGGTTCACTATTCACTACTCGTAATCAGATTAAGTAAGTATTGTTGAGTGTAATAGTGGACAAAAATGGAAAATAACATTCATAAAAATACCTACTTTGAAATAGAGAGCATTGATGAGGACCAATCGTGTGTCACTATCCACACTGTCTGACGAAAGCAGATCTTTAATCTTTTCATTGGTTTGACTTTCAACCTGAAATAAAAATAATTTTATGTTCACTTTGAAATTCTTAAAAAATAACTTCGAAATGACATCCAATCGTATGAAATAATCTTCTTACCCATTTGTTAATAACTTCAACAGCGGCTGCTCCAGTGTTAAAGTCAATCTTCTCAATACCTGCATTGAAGACTTTCTCAGCGTCAACCTTCAGAGAAGGTTGAAGGTCATAGGAACCATCCTTGAGGTACACTTTATTTGCCACATTAAATGTAACTCCTTTCAATGACCTCAACTTGGATGACACCTCGGTGAATGATGAACGGATCTGGAGCAGGAAAATTATTTGATTGATATACATATATTAATAGCATGAGTAGCTACTCCCACGCGGTTTCATCCGCTGCTCTGCTCCTTCAGATCGGAGCGTGATGTTTTATAGCCTAAAGCCTTCCTCAATAAATGGTCTATTAAACACAAAATTTTTTTTTCATTGCGAACAAGTAGTTCCTAAGGTTAGCGCGTTAAAACAAACAAAGAAACTCTTCAGCTTTATAATAATATTATAGTAAAGATAGTATAGATTAATGACTTTCTTTATTCTGTCTACATTTTCGGAATTGTATTATTAGATATCGTATCTAATTACACAGTAATGAGTGATGGTGATAAAATCATAATATATTCGGAATTTTCACAAACTTTTACATTGAAAGACAGATGAATCATCAAGAGAAAAATACGATTTTCACAATAATGACTGTTGACCGATGATTGTCCCTAAACATGATGTATTTTTCATTAGAAATACAGAAAACATGTGGTGATTCACCTAAACAATGAGTGGCTGGCAATTATCAGGAACCCATTCTCATATTATCTTTCATAATTTATAACTTATTTGGCCTTGTTCATAGTTTGCAATAGTTTTTAACCTGGTATTTGTACATACTACAACAAATATTTACATGTACTTAAATATAAATATTTACTTTTTTTAAAGTTATGAACAAACATAGGTAGGTGGCTTTGTGTATTTGATTTTAGGTTTGGTGATATTATTTATAAGGTAATAATACTTACAGAATCATCATCTGGGATACCAAGAGCAGTCAGGAGCTCAGTATGTGCCGGTTCTGTAGTACCCAGAGTCAGTAGGGCTAACACAAACTCTGCTGAAAGTGGTGAAGACACCACACTTTTACCCTTTTCCAATTCCTGTTAGAAGAAAAATCATATTTTTAAGTAAGTAAAATCTTAAAACATATTAGTGTATTATTTTAACATGCCGTCAATTCTGTGTACCTAACTATTAACCCATAGCATAATTTTATTACTTAGTATTTTATGTTTGTATTTTAAATTTAACCTAAGTAGTAGGTAATATATTTTACTTAGCAGAGTAATCTTTACTAGCTCACTTTGATGACAATGAATATGATGGTAAGCATGTAATGATCATCCAGGGAGGTGCTATTACAGATCAAACAAAATTTTGAGTTTGTGTGTAAGTAGTTCAATTGTGTATTATAATTAATGCTACCTTGTTTTTTTAATCTAGTTGGTCATGGTTTTCATAAATATGTTACAAATGGTTTATTTATTGCTTTTTTAGTATAGTAATGTTGGTTATCTATGTATTTAAGTGGATTTTTAATTAATAAACTACCTTACAATATTACATTATATTATCTTTTACTGATACTTATGACATCTTTAATTCTCATATTTCTTGCAACTAAGAACTTCATCAGTATTAGGTTTATCAAAATTTATCATGTGAGCACTTAATGAGAAATTGATTACTTAAATAGATATTAATGTATGGTTTTGATTGATTGCATTTTTACTGCTAAGTTATGTAATTATATACATTTTTGTAAGGAAAATATATTATCAACAATTTAGATGCTAATAAGGGTAGACAGGAGTTTAAGATCTAAGGTAAATCTACGAATTTTCTTATTGGTTCCATATATTAAGAGCAAGTCTAAGGTTTAAAAATGATGGAGAATTTAAGGTCCGTGAAACTTTATGTTTAGTCTATATAAAAATCTGAAAATTGGCCTATATGAATTTAACACTTTACTCGTCTGTAAAATAATTACAAAAAATTTATTATCTGCCAGTTAAAGTATCTGTCAGTTTATTATCTTTTAAAAACATTGTACTGCTAATTGTTTGGGGAATTCCCAAATAACTACATGAGACACAAGCCATTGATTTTGTATTAATTTGAAATTAAAGGTCTAATAGTCTTTTTGAAGTACAATCATTACTTTTTGAGAAATCAATACTTAATGACAATGGTAAAATGTAAATATCTAGTAGGGTACTTACAACACAGAATTTGGCTGAAAATTGGGCAATAGCAGATGAGAGGGCCTTTGAATCCATTTTGTGTTCACTGGTGTCAATGGTTTTTAATACCAAAAGAAATGTAACTAGAACAATTAAACAAGTTCGTTAAGATTGGGAGCTCGCACTGATGACGACCGCACACGTACACTCGTCGAATGTTTATGATATGACATCATTGCCGGCGCGGCGCCGACTTTAACTTCAATGTATGAATCACAATCAATGGTGGGGATTCAAGGCTGTTTAAAATTAACCTCGCAACAAATTCACAACAAAAATTATAGAAAAAACTCACGTATTAAAGTAGTTAGATTCCACATTGATTACTATGAAAATTGAAAACGTCTCAAATGTAACATAACTTTTACATTACCCAAATACTTTTGATAGATAAATATGAACCAATCGTATGATTATATTTAAGTAATCTTATCACTGGAAAAACATTCTCAATGTTGGTAAATTATGAAGCACAACATAAAAAACACAGAAACAGAAATGTTAAGATAACTTTCCTCAGAAATATGTTATTGTATTAGACAACAGAGATTTTTTTGATTTCATTGAATTAATGATTCTACTTTCATAAAAAACACGTGATGATAAACCCAAACCCGACTGAAACATAAATATTTACAAAGTAACGTCAACATAATGTGTCACTTTGAAGTTTAAAACTGTGTTTTAAAATGTCAAACGTCGTAAAAATGTCAAATCAAATCCATGAAGGCACTGTCCATAGAGGCACTGTCGTAATCAAAGAACTTTATAATTATTTATATCCGTCGTATACCAATTAACTTAGGTAGGTTTAATACTTTAAGGGCTGACTTTTTAATAGTTACATAAAAGTTACCTGGGGAATAATTATGATACTGTCTCGTCAAAATGTATATGTACAAGACAGTGACAGCAACGATTTTACTCCTCAATTTGACTATTGAAAACTCAACCCTCAGTAGAGTAACTTAATTTTAGTAAAATAATTTCAACATTAGTTGCAAGAATGCCCTTTAACCATTTAGTGTTCAACCGAACCTATTGGTTGGTAAGCTAGCCAATAATTTGTGTAGGCCGAACTAAAACAAATCAACGGTTAGAAGCTGTGGTTAGAAGTTTGTCAATATCAGTTATATGGGGGATACTTGACATATATGCCACATTTAAAAAATATGAAAAAATATATATGTCTACTTATACCCCGCCCCGAAATTTCATGAGGCGGACGCGCTCGAATTTGTGTTTCATCTGATTGCCTATAACTCAGTATCTCATAAAAATTTCTTAGAAGTGTCGTTTTTTACATTTGGATAAAAGTATTGAATTTGTAAGTAACTACAACTTTGAACTATTTATTAACTGAGGGGAAGGCTTATGGGCTATTTGGTTGCGACCGCTTTTGTCCTTATAATATTGGCTGGTGACTAACCGCAGCTTGACAGCGTAACTGAAAGCTAATTAAAAAAACAAGTACAAAAATCTGTATTTTTAAAAATGGTTCAACTTATCTGAATAACTAAATATTTGGGGTTTTAAAATGTAAGAAATTCAAAAATTTAATAACAAATTTATGAAATACAAAATTTTCTGTGTGTAAAATACTATGAATAAACACAAAATTAGAAGTTTAAAAGTATGTGTGAACAGCGGACTTAGGCAATACTCATTATGTTGCCCTCCACAACCACCGCGGTGCGGTTGTCCTCCGCAGATTCCTGGCTTCGGCAGGCGCATTGTGCCTCCGTCTGACTGCCGCCCAGGGCCTGTGCCACCAAATCCATGTGTGCCCAAGTTTCCGGGAAAGGACGGGTGGAGGAAATATAGAAGTTTGTTTTTCTTCATTGGAGTTCCTCTTATAATTGTTCAAGCTATTCACTCGTTGGGACACGAATTACCGCCAAAAGGAGAATGTCGTGATTATGAATACATGCGCAGACGCACAAAGAGGTTCCCATGGGGAAAAAGAGGTATAAAAAGTTTATTCCATAACCCTCATGTTAACCATTTGCCAGGAGAATGTGAACCTCCGCCTCTAGATTGTGATTAGTTTTTTTTTTGTTTATATTTTAATGGTACGATATTTTTATGAAACAAATGCTGGCCGGCGTCCAATTATTAATAAAAATATCACATATATACCGCTATTTCAATTTTATTTATTATATCTCAATTACTTTAGCGTTTTCTAAAATTGCTAAGGTTTCTATCCGAACCATTTTTTCTTAATACACCCAAATACTAGGTAGGTATTTGGGTGGCTAGGCTAGGTAAAAATATTAGGTATCATTTCTTGTTTTAATTTTGGGGCTAAGAAATAAATAGCGAATCTCAATCCAAAACCTGTAGATTACCTAAGATCGATTTATTGACACTAGTTTTAAGGAGCTTCTGTCAAAAACTTATATTGGTTTAAAATTGTAATAAATATCGGCCGTAAGGCAATAACTTAACATCCGCAAAATAAAATACGCAGAACTTTTTGGCTAATCTAGGTGCCAAGGTTCCATATTCGGTTCGAAAGAACCCTAGCAATCCACAAATAGGCAACATTGTTATTGTTGGCCACTATAGAGGAAAAAACGTTTTTTACTCCATGTTGGCCACCGTTGCGGTATAAAATTAATTGTTGAGACTGAAAAAGCAATGGCCCTCAACAAGTTGGCGGCGATGGCTCTTCATGGACCCACACAAAGAACACTCGGGAATAGTTTTGTAACCTGCCGTCGTAAGGTTCGTGTCTGTTACGCAACACACAAGAAATCTTTTCATTTGGACATAAAATATAAGGATTCTGGTCAAGTAACACCCGCGAACATAGCTAGATACAATTGTCCATATCCGCTTTTCTAAGTACAATGCAACTACCTTTGATGTTAAACGGTGGAGTCTACGGCGATAGAGTACCCTGCTTGGACTGAGCACTGTCGTGTCCTCAGGGAAGTGATTGGTAGCGGTGACCTCACGCTTCTGGCTTACTTAGCCATGTTGCGGTGCGAGAGATATTGGGAAACTGTCAGCTTCTGCGAAGCCGTAATGCTTGCAAAAAAGTAGGCGGAGAGCGTGTGGGAGCTATCCTCCTCGTGCCCCAGCCGCCGCAGTGGGCGACACTCCGGACGTCGGGGTCGAGTGACGATCTCCAGTCAGCGTTAGCGCGTGCATCTCAGAACAATTCTGTGGTAGTCTACTGACTCTTTAAGGCGCGCGCGGAACGATACGAGGTTTACACTGAGCTCTGGTTCTGGTCGGGTGGTGAGCTTACGGTTCGCTTCGATCTCTGAGCACGAAGTCGTGTAAAAAGTTTGGCGGATTTTGAAGGTTTTTCCGTGTGATTATAGTAACCCGAGGCCCATTCCCTCCTTCCCATCCCCAATCCTCAAATCTCGTTGGAGGAGTCCATCGGCGGTGCTGACTGTCGACTCCATGTCAGTTTGTTGTTTGTATACGTATACTGTATGTAAACAACAGTTTAAATTGTATTATATAATAATTTGTAATCCTGATTTTTTTTATGGCCTGTTTCATCTATTTGGAAAAACTATCGGGAAGTTGTAAGAGGATGGTGTTTAATTATTCATTTGTACATTCAGTCATTAAGCTTAAACGTAAAATTTTGCGGAAAGTTATCCATATTTTAGGCGCTGAGAGTTTTTTTCCAATAAGAAAAAATAAGGTAGACATTTTTTTGTGGTAACAATAGTTATTGTACTGATTTTAAAAACCTTGAAAATCACAGATTTTTTTGCAATTTTCATTGTAATTGAAGTTAGATACAGAGAAAGATTGTTAGGTTACGGATGTATATGCATTTCCACTTAAAAAATCGTTCGTGGACAAATAAACAAACATATACACTTTGTCATTTACAATATTAATATGATATACTAGCTGCCCGCCCCCGCTTCGCACGGGTCCGACTATCTCGCAATCAAAGAGTCACTTTTTCCTAATCTTCCCCTCTACTTTTCTAATATTTTCTTTCATAAGAACCTTCTCCTGACAATAACAAACACAACAAAAAAATAATTAGCAAAATTGGTCTAGGCGTTGTTGCGTTATGCGCTTACCAACACATTTTACTATCCATTTTTATATATAAAGATTATGCACGTGGTATATTACCAAAATGCTGTAAATACCTACTTAGTACTACTAGTATGTCATATTTTATCATACAAGTTGGCTACGCCGTAGGCGCTACGTAGTTCCGTGGCTCGACGCTGGAACGTAGCCAGCCAATGACTAATAGTCGTATGGTTGTATTAATATAGGATACGTGGTAGAATTAGGGATAAAGAGAAAGGTCAGCGCTCAAGATAAAGAAAGTAGTAAGTAAAGTAATTAAAATACCTAAGGAAAATTTATATACAAACCCAAAATTGCACCGAGTTCTTTACCAGAACAACCTTGCTCTTTTTTCTCTTATTTCGTATGGTAATCTGTGTGAATAGGTCTAATTTTTACTTTGCCCTCAAACCCAAAATCCTTCAATTTTGGATTCCGTAACCACAAATCGACAACGAAATTATAACAGAACTCCTTGGTGTATGAGTGCCCATAGGCAGCCTGTGGGCAGCACTGATTGTTTTACCATTAGTTTATCTGTGCGCTTGTTTGCAGTTGATCTACCCTATAAAACATTCGATTTCTAGTCACTGAGATTCTTATAGGTGTTTGGTATGGTATGGTATAAACTCAACCATAGAAATCATATAGATAATATGATTTCTATGGATAGAGAGATAATAAATAGTAATAAACTCTGGTTGCTACGGGCATTGGATGCGAAATATGTATATGTATATTTAAATTAATTTTAATTAGGAGCGACAGGCAATAACAAAATGATAGTATTTACCTTGTGCACAACAAAATGATAACGAAATCTCAACAATGTAGCATAACGAAAAACCCAATTGCAACCAAGTGCATGGTATTAATTATAAAATTATTTTTTTCCTCATAACAAAACTGACCTACTTTTATTTAGGTATAATAATGCCCATATTATTTTACAAACACATTTTATAAATTGCTTCTTATCGGTACATAAATAGAAATATAATTATTTTATTACATTAACAATAATTAACATGACAATAATTTGTTGGTCAGGAAAAAAGCCGTTTTCCTGTACCTGCTTGTTTTTAAATTAATGCATGTAGTTAGGTACATACATTATGAATAATTTTCATAACTGTTGTTACTAGCTTAAGGTAAAAGTCTTCGGCATGAACGATGGCAAATTTTTATAGTTTTTTTGTGGGTTGAAAATTCTGTGAAATTCCCGCCCAGGTTAGGGCGAAAGTCAGATTTATACTGATTAAAAACCGCCCAACTCCGTCTGGTCTGACCTAGGCCAGTGTCACGGTATTTTATTCCGATTGCAAGCGCAACCCGGCAGTTTTTTTTTTATATTGGTGGTGGTAAACGATGACGTGTCCTACGATGGACCACGCTTACCTTCTCCCTCCCCCTTTCCCTACCAATAACCAACCTATTCATTTGGGCCGAGAAGACCCAGGTCCCATTCGGGGAACACAGACCCCAGACAAGATTTCCATTCCAAAAGGTTCTGATGATAAAACTATAAGAAGCGAATCGCTTCGCGTGTGTTATGAACGTCGAAATTGAAACGTAACGTTTTGACCATTTCGTGGTACGACGGTGGAAAAGAGTTGGGTTTATTGTGATAGTAAGTTCGCACATGTATATTTTCACATTATTCCTCATTATGCTATGGTTATTGTCATCAATTAGTTTTAACCGTGTCTTCGTCTAACGAAAAAATTAAAGGGAAAAAATTTCTTATACACAACGCAAATCCTACTCTTAACACGTAGAATGTGGTCATGGTTCATACCAAGTATTATTCATGTGAACTTTTATGCACCAACAAAATATGAGGTGGGATCAAACAGGAAATCAGGAAATCTTTCTATTTAAAAAAAAGTCCCGTTAGTTGGACTATTTACCCGCCGCACGCCTTAGACTGCGGGTTCGAAACGTGGCATAAATCAATGTGACTTACTCTAAGTTTTATGTATATTCTAAGTATTCAGACACCGCTGACAAACAGTGAAGGAAAACATCATAAGTAAAACCTGGACTATCTTTCTTTTCTCAAACCTTCTATATGATAAGCTTGTGTATGCTCTGACTGATGATGACGAATAGTGAGAACCTTCTCGAGTTATGCGCTTACTACTAGACATTGCGATTATTTGTTATATAGGTATAAAGATTTAGACTACAGATATAGCTTGCTATACCTACTCATGTATAAATGTTATATAATTGTTTAATAAGTATTATAAATATCGGATAATATTTGTAATGTAATATCTATCAACGTTATTATGAGACAGGAAGGCAAACGATCATGTGTCACCTGATGGCAAGGATCGGCGCCGTCTATAGTCACCAGCAACACTGGAGGAGTTACAAGTGCGTTACCAGTCTCGAAGGAGGGGGCGGGCGTTTAACACGGCGGCGAAACACAACGCAAGCGTTGCTTGACACCAGCAGTTTGCTGTGAGGCGCCGCAGTTTCCATCACGGTTGAGCCGCGGCCAAATTACTAACACTAAATAACGAAGCTACCTAATCATTTAAATTACTCCTCAACACGTTTTGTCTCAGAAATAAACTACACAGCACGTTTAAATACCTAATAGCATAAAATAGATTACTATGCAACGTAGCCGTAGCACACTATTACTACCGTAGCAATTATGTATAAGATTTAAATTAAAATAATTAGGCGTCCGTCCCTCTATCATATTTGTTTTAAACATGTGACACTGACATTGAATTACTGCTGAAAAGGCATGTCGAATGCGAAAGACGACATAAACGAAGGGAACAGCATGATACTGCTTCACGACGAGCCGGCTACGAAACTGCTACGACGTAGCACAATAGACTGTTCGTTGTTACACCCGTAGATGGATGTGCTTGTACAGTTTTCAATGTTGTCAACAAAAATATTTTTTAGTAGTCAATAGTAATAAATCTTTATATTCAAGTCAGTGTAGGTGGTAAAGGTATC